TCAATCTTCATTCCTTCCTCGACTGTGCTGTTAGGGATTATCACAAAGAACGTCTAATAGAGCTTATGAGCAGCAGACAGAGGAAGCCTGTATTGGAGAAATCTTTGTTGATTTATTGTTAAACAATCATTCTTTTTTTTTTAAGGGTCCAAGTTGAACTATGGGTCATACTTGGCAGACACCCATGAATTTATTAGTTTTTTACATAGTTATTTTTGCTCTACATATTGCAATACTCTCTCTTCTGTGGGAAAAAAAATCTCAGTGGCTTAATTCCTGTATCTATCCAAGCAACATGAGGAAGTGTTAACTTTATGCCTTTATGATCTTTCACACATTATTTTTACCTCAGGCTTGAAATAGTGATACAGTTATTGCATTTATTTATCAATCATTTCTATCCATCGCAATCATTCACAGCAGCTTACACAGAATAAACCACTATGGGGTTCTTCTGCAGTACACTATACTTCATTAGACAGAGTGACTGAATTCTGATTGCATTTTTAAACAAAATCCAGATTCTGCCCTGGAGTGTTTAAACATCTAATCCCTAAATGCTGCTGTTGTGATACAGTATTTGCCTTAATGCCCAGAAGAATTAAATATCCTAATTGTGGTACTCATAAAGTTCTAAAAACCAAGGGATATAACTGGCAAACTTTCTGAGTGTTTTTAGTTCCTCTGCACAATACTTCTTTGAGTCAATTAGGAAAGAATGCTACAAGTATCAAAATGATGCTATAAGTATCAAAAAATGTCTTGTTCTTTATAAATAGCTATCAAGACTCCTTGATAAAAGCTAAAAGCAAAAACTAAGTTATGTTGTATCTCTTGGAAGTGTGAAGCTTATTTCCTTGCAGCAAAAGTTAAACTTTCTTTGATTTCCCTAATCAGGACATAAATCTTTTCCAGAGTATACAATGCAGCTAAACAATAATCATACATCTTTTCCTGTTTCGGACAGCCAGGATACAGATTCCCAAATAACTCTTTCCTTGTACTTATGGGGTATTTCCTGAGAACAAGCATTTTTGCATTCCATGGAGACATATAGTCAGGTTTGATTTGCTAGTCCCAGAACAGCAGCTGGGACTATTTTCCCAAGGTAGAGACAAATCAGCAAATCTGTATGAATGTCTTTTAGTAAGGTGAGAAACCATCCTCCTTTAGCGAGGACAGTCCTTCTTTTGTAAGTTCTGTCCTCTCTCGAAAAGTGTCCTACATGTCCTCCTTTTTGATATTTGAAGACTAATCTGTAAATCTCCGTATTTGATAGATGCCGATCCGACCCGTTGTGTGTGATGTGACATATTTGTATTTGACATGGCAATTCATCAAGGCTCAGTGCAGTGCGGCGAGACGCGATTATGAGATGCATGCGCTCCACACAGGAGAATTGTTTTGAGAGAGTGCGCCGCCTGCAAGTGGCTTTGGTTTTTTTCTCCTTCAATTTATTTATGTCCTCCTTTTCATTGTAAAAAAATTGGTCACCTTACTTTTAGTTGGGATGGTTGTCTTCTACTTTACAATTCCAGTGATTGAAAAAGTTAGTTGCTTCAAAACACAGATTTTTTTAAAAAAAATTAAACTTAAGAAGTTTAATAATTGCTAGGAGACCTTTGTTGACTGCATCTAGCTGGAACTTGCAGGAGCAAATGACTAGATCAGGGGTCTCCAACCTTGGCAATTTTAAGCCTGGCAGACTTCAACTCCCAGAATTCTGGGAGTTGACGTCCACCAGGCTTAAGGTTGCCATGGTTGGAGACCCCTGGACTAGATGATTGAAAGCCCACTCTTATTATCATGCATTGAATACATAGATGACATTACAAAGGGCAGGTCCTCAATTGCTCTGTTGCACAGCCATTTTGACATTATTTGCTTCCCTCCAGACAATCTGGTGTGAATATCAGGAAATATCAGCGCCCTGGGCTAGAAAATTGGGGTGGGGGAAAGCATCCCAGAAGAAAATAATTTTCATTTCCTTGCCCATAAGTTCCTAGATGGATTTGTCCCTGAAGCTAAACTGGACTCAAGCATTTCATATTTTATATATGTTCATCCATGTAAATCAATCAAGGATTCTGGAAAATATTTTTTTTTCCAGGATGACATCCCTTAATCATGAGACAACATATCTGTTTGTATATGAACAAACCATCCAGTGATATTTGTCTCTTCAAGGTAGCAGTTGCCTTCTCTTTCCGAAACAAACTGATAGTGAAGACAACCCCTCAAATTCATGCCTGAATAATAATAATTTTTAAAAAAACAGCACACGGTAACAACAAAACCCACGTGAACAAGTTAATAAGAATCGCTGGGTAACAAAATTGCGACCATTAATATTTTGTAACAAAGAGGTAGGTGAACCTGTGAATCCCTGCCTATCACTGCCACATAAAAGGACTCGGCAACGCTGGAACAAAATCCTCCATAAGAACTCACCAAGGGGAAGGAGATATGGAGTGTCTCCTGGAGAAATAATACGAGCAGATTCATTTTCTCCTTTAATTCCCTAGTTTTTGAAGCAAGGGCTCTTACCGCAGGCTAACAGGGAGCGGTAGATAGCCGTCTTCTTAGATAAGACAGAGGACATAAGGTTTGTAAAGGCTTATCCACTGAGGTGGAAAGAATCAAAATCTAGAGTTTCCTGGTGATTGATGGAATTTACTATGTGGGCTGACTTTAGCTTGAAGACTGTTAAAGAGTTCAGTTTCTTAAAAAGGCAGTTTTTTATTTTTTTTTGTTTTAGGCTCATGTAAAGCAGTGACATAGATCAATGTTTCTCGATCTTGGCAACTTGAAGAGGCATGGACTTCAACTCCCAGAATTCCCCAGCCAGCATTGCTGGCTGAGGAAATCTGGGAGTTGAAGTCCACATATCTTCAAGCTACCAAAGTTGAGAAACAGTGACATGGTTTCTATTCACATTCACAATGGCATTAAACAGGGTAGACTCTCGTTTCCTTCGTAAAAGGTTCCATTGAATTAGGCTGCTTGTCTCTGTGATCATTGCTGCAAGGTTGAAATTATTGTCATTGCTTGATTTATGTATGTGCATATATACATTTACGGTATTTTTTGGACTATAGACGTACCAGACCATTAGATGAACCTAGGTTTAGAGAAGGAAAACGAGGGGGGAAAAAAGATTTTGGCCTCAATGAGTCCCGTTTTCAGCATCCCTGGCCCCCAGAAGTGCTCTGCAGGCCAAAACAGCCTCATTTTGGGCCTCCCAAACCCTCCGCACGTCCCATTTTCAGCCTCCCCAGTGCTGGAGAGGGCAAAAACAGGACCCACGGAGGCCTGTTTTTGGCCTACAGAATGCTTCTGGATGCCAGGGAGGGCAAACACAGGATGCACAGAGGGTTTGGGAGGCTATAAACAGGCCCGTATTTGCTGTATAAGACGCACAGACATTTCCACCCACTTTTTTTGGGAGGGAAAAGTACGTCTTATAGTCTGAAAAATACTCTATATACCTATATACACACACATGCATATACTCCTCAGTTAGGACTTTGTGCGTTTAATCTAAGGCAGTGTTTCTCACTCTTGAAAACCTTAAAAAGTGTGGACTTCAATACCCCAAATTCCCCATCCACTATGCTGTTTGGTGAATTCTGGGAGTTGAAGTCCACACCTCCTAAAGTTGCTAAGGTTGAAAAACACTGATCTAAGGAGATGATAAACTTTCTAAATAGGGGCTCCACATTCCACCTCATACAAAATTTGCAATCAAGAAATTGACTAATCGGCTTCTTTTTCTTAAATGGATGCAAACCACTTTTCTATTTGAAAACTCAATCCCAAAGTATAACTTATTAAATAATTTTATAAACAACAATATCTTGCCCTTCAAAAAAAAATCTCTTAGAATGCTTGAATACATCAAAATAAAAAATTGAAACCAACTAAAAATAGTTTGAAAGCACAATAAATTAAAAACAAAAAAGTATATTAAAGCCGTTGAAATCTATGGATCTTGCTTCTTAGTACCGATGTCTGGGATGGAAGTGTCAATCTCCCAGGTGTTAACAGAGGGAATTCAAGGAAGAACAGGCAGTTTCATGGTTATATTCCTATCTGGAGTATCACTCCTATGATTATCATGATTGACCCAAGTGTCTGGCAAAAATAATTCAGATCCTAACAAGATTTCAGATATAATTTGACGATCAGTCTACCAAATATCCTGTTGATTGAGACAAAGAAGCAGAAAGAAAAAAAATACATCCATTTTTCTAAAGCTGATGTTTCTTTTGCAGTACCTGAGTAGAATATAAGAATACAAAAAAGAAAGTATGAAGATAAATTCCTTAATATATCTTGCATAGGTTAAACAGCACTACGCAAAGATCAAACAATGGATTGATTTTAGTCCAAAAGCATGAATTTTAGTTTTTTTTGGTTGTTAAAATTACCTCCAAAAAAAGTGTGTCTTTAAAAAGAGGGTAATCCTCTTGTAACACAATGTAAGGCATTTCAGTTCTGGCACCTTTCTGTTTGCAGTCATTTCCAATATTATTTTGTTTTTTAGTGATAGAATATTTGTCCTTCAAACATTGGAGATCCTTTAAGATATTAGACATCATGGAAGCCTGTATTAATCCATGTAATAATCCATTGCTTTTTTAAAGTTTTACTATGAATAAATTGAAAGCACTCTTGTTTTGTTTTTTTTTTTAAAAAATCCATATGAAGAAGGCACCATAAAGAGACTCTTCAGTGACTGAAGACTGTGATATGCTGGTGAGAAAGTTTTTCACACTCGGAAAATCAACAATTTGGACAGATGATTTTGGAAAACAGGATCATTCTCTTGTCAGGTCTTTCCAGTGGTTAAATGAAAACTCTCTATTTTGTCCTCTTTTTTTTTTGCTTCAGCATCAAAATTCATGCTGTGATCACCTTGGAAAAGAGAATGAATGAATGTCTTCTTAGTGATGTGTTCTGAGAAAATGCAAAATGGGATTCAGAAGTGGAAAGATGTGTCAGATCTGTAGCACACGTCGATTCCACATGCCCCTCCTGGAATGGTAGTGATGGAAGAAATTCCTGATATAAAGCCGCTCTACCTCCAGGCCTGCCTGAAATATCCTGTAAGAAAAGGTGGAGGAAATGTCAATACGTATTTATCAAATCTATACAGCATTCCATCTTGTGACAAGTGATTTTGGGTGATGTGCAATAACGTAAGAATATAGTCAGGGGGTGAGATTCTACTGGTTTGGACCGGTTTGGGTGAACTGGATGTTAAAGTTATATCTGGTTCACCGAACTGGTATTTCAACTGATCGGCTGGCCCTGCCCACCCCTCCCCTCCCCGGAATCTCCACACGGCCCATTTTCGATGGAGGGCAAAAAACAGCCCCCCTGGGAAAACCGGAAGTGCCCAAACGGGCCTGTTTTAGGCTTCCGGTGGGCCTCCAGAGCTCAGGAGAAGCTGTTTTTGCCCTCCCAGAGGCCAGGGGGAAGCCTCTGAAACTGCCACTGGAGACTAGAGGGCGGGGGTGGTTCACATGCACAGCCCCGTCTCCCCAAAAGAGCAGCAGCGGCAGGCACAACAGGGTGAGAGATAGAAGCAAGAACTGCTGCCGCCCTTTTGCCCCCGGTGGCAGGAGCAGTGGGCGGGGCAATTAACTGCCCAGCCAGCAAATGCTTGCGGGAGGAATGCCGGGGTAAGAGGTGCGCTGGCCGGGAAGCAGTCACGCTCCCTTGGCAGGAGTGTGTGTGGGGTTCTGCTGGCTTGTTCTCGGTGGCGGGCTGGAGAGGGATGCTTCATCCTGGCCAGAGTTGGAGCAAACTCTCCCACCTGCTGGCTCCCCAATCCAAGCCCCAGAAACACTGACGTCCCTTCCCTTCAAGGCCAGGAAAGGGCTCCAGCTTTCCAGAGGAAGGAGGTGGCATTCTCCACCCAACTTTCTCTCCCTGTCCAGGGCTGTGGAACTGAGTCGTTGGTGGGGATGTCCCGCCATCTCGACAGGGACCAGAGGGGTGGGCAGGGAGGCGCGAGGATCCCCAAAAGGCCAGGCAGAGCCAGCACATGCACTCTGGCCAGCTGGTCTGCGCATGCGCACCAGAAACTGGAAGACCAGGCACACTAGAAACTGGAAGATCATCTGTTTTTTTCAGTTTCTGGCATGTGAGAGCGCGCACGTGGTGCCAAAAAGGTTAACCATCACTGCTCTAGATATGTGTGAAGAACAAAAACTTCAGTAGAAGTTTCCTGAAAAATGTATATAAAGTTTCTTCTCAAGGTTATCGAGTTAACCAATTCAATGGCATGATAATTTTGTTTTGTTTAAATCACCATGACAATATAGGGGTAGTGCTTGATTTACAACCATTTGTTTAGTGAATGTTGGGAAGTTATGATGACACTGGAAAAAAATGACTTACACCAGGTACTCGCACTTATAACTGTCTCAGCATCTCTTTGGTCATGTGATGAAAATCCAGGTGCTTGGCAACTGGCATGCATTTATGACAGTTGCAGTGTCCTGCGACCTTCTGACAACAAAGTCAATGGGGAAAGCCAGGTTTGTTTAACAATCGTGTTATTAACAAGGGAAAATTATCTGATTTACAACTATGGCACAAAGTTCTTAAAATTTGGTGTTGCTTAACATCAGCAATACTCATCTCAATCGGGTTATAAGTCGAGGACTACCTATATACAATTCCTCTCTTGGGAATGGCCACTGGCTGGACTATTTTCAAAGCTACCAAATTCTTACTGACCTGTCCAAGAGTTCCCAGTCTTCCCCGCCCCATTTGTCACGGAATTCTTGCGTGTTCATTCCGCCGATACGAACCAAATCAGATTTATATATGCCCAGGAGACCAAAACCATTAATTTCCCAGTAGCCTGTAAAGGAAAAACATAATAGTTACCAGTCACATTTTTTTTTTCAAAAATAAAGTCTCCAGACCATCCATGACATCTATATGCATAGGAATGAAATAGATTTAATTGGCTTGCAAACTTAAAACTCCAATGAGCAGCATCAGTAAGGAAATCTAATACTATAGCAAGTATTGGGAACAGATCTAAAACCGATGACATAAAATCCTAATGAAATGCAATTGCTCTTTCACTGAAATCTTATCCCTTGGTGTTTTTCCACAAGGTAATGCCTCCAGATTTTTTCTTCTACATTAATGACCAACTTCTTTCTTAGATACTCAGAATTACCAGTAGAAGAGAATATTTCAGATCAGGGGTTAAAGTATGTGGGCCTTGGTGCTCTTTGAGCTTGGTTGTTTTCTTGCAGACATTTCATTACCCAACTAGATAACACCATCAATATAGGGATAAGGCTTAGCTAGAATTTTTCTTCAGACCATGTTAGATCTTTACAAATAGGATTGGACAGGTTTTCTCCTCCTGCTTTTTAAAAACGTTCCGTGATAGTTATATGAGATGTCAGTTCAAGAAATTCAGTTGATAGAGATTCTTCACACGACTGAAAATTAGGCATGTGTCTAAAATAATAATAATATAGTCACAATGCATATACTGATTTTGATTTGAAATATTTCAGAATCAAAATGAAGCCAAAATGAGTTCACAGTCAAGTTGTTGATATTTAATACGATTTTGTGTATGCTTGTTAATTATTTAGGGACCGATTATTTTTATTACACAGTGTTTGTAATGAATTAATAGAGAGCCAGTTTGGTGTAGAAGATAAGATATCAGCCTAGCAACCAGAATCCTGATTTCTAATAACTCAAGGCAGAAACATATCAAACACACCTTCCTCCTCCTATTTTTCCCTTCAAACTCTGTGAGGTAAGTTGGGTAGAGACAAAATGACTGGCCCAGGGTGTCTTAACCATTAGACCAAACTGGCTCTCTTACTGGTGAAGGTAAAGCCATACTCAGCTAAAGTAAACAGAATGCAATATTCTTCATTATCTGAAGAAAGCAGTTGTTTTCGAAGGATAGAGAAATTGGCTGATTAAATTATTAAAAACAAAACAAAACCCTACACCAAAGTATTTCTGGGCTAGAGATTATGAGAACTGATCCCCTATGTTTCCAGAGAAGGTTAATATAGGGAAGGCTGCCCAGAAAATAAATCTGCTATTGAAGCATCATTTGCCCACAACCAACCCCTTACCATCTGGCTGTTGTGGAGTGGCACCACACTTCAGCCTCATAACAATGGGTGCAAAGGCCATTTTCCCTTCCACGCAGTGCTTCCGAACAGAGTCAATGATCTCTGCTGGGAAGTGGATGTGCAGATCACAAAGAAAAATGATGCTGTGAGAATCCTGTAGGCAAAGATATAACAGATAATCAGAGTTGGAAGGGACCTTGTAGGTCATCTAGTCCAACCCCCCGCCCAAGTGGGAGACCCTACACCATTTCTGACAAATGGCAGTCCAATCTCTTCTTGAAAGTCTCAAGGGATGGCGCTCCCACAACTTCCGAGGGCAAGCTGTTCCATTGGTTGATTGTTCTCACTGTCAGAAAGTTTCTCCTTGTTTCCAGGTTAAATCTCTCCTATAGAGCTATTAATTCCGTTACTTTCTAAATCATTGGAATTGTCTCCACAGCCTCTTTGCCCCAGATCTGGGGTGGCCCCTTAATTTTATAGAAGACAAATCCTGTCCCAAAGGTACTTTTTTCAAGAAGCAACTGGACTTGGTTTCAGGTTTCAACAGTTTCAACAGCTCCAAGAAGGCTCCACACCAATTTGCACCACTCAGGTGACCCTGATAACACAGATAAATCTCCAGGTGACCTTAACGACTGGCTAAAAGAATGCAAATGTCCAGCTGTGTGCAAGGAGTATAAATCCTTCCATTCCCCACCATCCAGTCAGAGCTGAAGAAGCTTCTTGGATGAGAAGCAAAAGGTCTTCAAAGAAAATCCAGAGAGTCCAGCTGCCTCTTGAAAAAAGCACCTTTGGGACAACCATGGCCTGGATGACTGAGAATCTCCATAGACAAGACAAATCCTGGTACCATCCTTTTTTATTTTTTATTTATTTTTATTTGTCAATTGCTTACAAGATAATAGGTATAAGTAAAAACATGGTTATGAATACATGGATACATATAAGAAAAATTAAAAAATATATAAAAGAAACAACAGGACAGGGACGGTAGGCACATTGGTGCGCTTATGCACGCCCCCTACA